AGTCATGAACAGAACCAGGCCATCCTGCTAGAACATCTCTGAACACCATTTGATTATCACACACAACCTGTTGAAAAAAATGCTTTTACTGCTACATTTCTCTTTAATTAATCATGTATGTATACTACATAAACTGTAAGCTAAACATCTCAAAACAACTGAGGAGTGCCCAGACTAAACTCGAGCTCAATCAATAAACAATTATTGGATGAGGTTGAGCGTGATATCATGAATTATCAAAACTGAGGTCTGACTGTTATCTGCGAGCCGAAGGCTGAGGCAGATAACACAGACACGAGGTTTTGATAATTCATGATATCATGCAAAACCCAATTCAGTAATTGTTTTATTATACATTTTTCACATAATTCATCCTCAGAAACAGAAGCGAAGCCTTCAGCCATTTTCTTTCTGAGGAGAACACTCCAAGGGGCTTAGTAACCAGGCAGACGTTGAACTTGACATGATAAATGCAATATCTGCAGCAGATATTGCATTTATCATGTCAAGTTCACAAGCTATTGTGAATTGATTGAATGCTCTTGACCAATCAGATTTTTCATAGTGAGTCTGATGTATAATAATAATAATTATCGGGGCAAGTATAGTGTACCACCATAAACAATTCAACAGAAAGTCTATTATTATCAATGGCTGCACTAGACCATGAACATTTCAGTTAAGGTATGTTTAATCAAAATCATAAATAACTATAGCATTGTTATATCACATCCCACATTTTATATAGGATCAAATAACTGGTCATCAAGAGATAAATTTAGCATGCTTGGATCTTTAACCTGTCAGACATACTTGTCTTTAAGTCTGCATAATTTTAAGGGGTGTAGACAAAACCTGGGCCTAGCCCATGGGCTAGCCCATGGGCTACCCTATGGGCTACCCTATGGGCCACCCCTAATTTAAAAATAAATTTAAAATTATAAATTTAAAATTATAAAATTATAACAAATAAAAAAAATAATAAGAGAAGAAAAAACAGTTGACTCCTTTTTCTACGCACGCGCTGTTCCAACGACGTTTTTTACCCGTCACGACCTCGAGGCACGAAAACGAGGCTTTAGAATCTATATGCAAATTGTTGTGCGTTGCGTGACAATAAAAGGGGGTGGTAGGCCTACACGACTTTTACCTCATGTCAAAATGCTGCTTATTCCAACAAAGTACAACTAAAGTTGCTCCTGCAAAAGCAACTAAGCACAAAGCCAACCCGGCAACTGATGAGGTTCGTGAGGAGAACCGAAACCATGGTCTTGCCTGATCACAAACTGTGGCAATAACAAAACAGTTTAAAGACTGTTAAGCTTATTCAAAGCTATTACCAAGGGAGGAACTACGCGCTCCAGTCAAAAGACTCACACTATCCTTAGAAAAACACTAAGCTGGAGTTTACTGAGTCACAATTCAATTCTCCATAGTAAGTTTATGTAGCTTCAGTTTAAGCTGCAGTTCACTCTTATAATTTTGGATCTGTAAGTCACTATCCGTGATAATTTAAAATTCTGCAAAGAAAACTGACGAGCTGGGCCCAGCGTGATACAGCATTGCAGAAAAACATTACGCTCACGGACTAAAGAAAATCGCTTAGATCAGATCCATAAGGAACTTTGGAGAAAATTGAAAACCTTATTCAGCAAAGCATGATTGTGCATGATTGTTGATGATAGTTTCCAACGCAAAACAATCATCAACAATCATGCACCGTTTGACCAGGCCTTAATGAAACTTGAGAAATTGGCGCTGGCGCGAGACGGCTGACGCGAGTCGCTGACGCAAGTCAGATACGATCACCTATCTTGTATTTTTTAAGGTTTTTTAAAGTTTTTAGAGTGACAAAAATCAAAATGATTTTCACTCAGTGGAAGTTAATTTTCTGATATTCAGAGAAAAAAATGTTCAAAGAAAGTCTTGAAAAGCGTGTGGAGATATTAAGTAAAAAAAAAGATATTTCGGAATAAAAGACAAAGGTGTCATTATGTCCTAAATGAGTGGACGCCCCGGGAAAATTTTTTCCGGCGAAATATGTTGAAATATGGGATTCCCCCATAGGGAGAATCAGCTATTGAACCATTATTAACAAAGTAATGCTCACCTCAATTGCTTACGCGACGAACAAATAACGAGCCATTCTCAATACTAAATCACGTAGCAAACAAAGCGATTAAATCCTTACTGCCTAAAGCCTCGTGCGATCTCTCTTTTTTTTAATTTTTTTTATTTATTTTTTAAATTTTGGGGTAGCCCATAGGGTGGCCCATAGGGTGGCCCATAGGGTAGCCCATGGGCTAGCCCATGGGCCAGGCCCAGGTTTTGTCTACACCCAATTTTAAGAGTTTATATGAGAGCATTTTTGAGAAAATATAGGGTGAAGTTTAAATCAATGAACATGGACATTCTAAAACATTTGGGAAACAATAATGTCACGTTTTTGCTGTATTTTAAAAACTTAAAACTTAGACTTAAATTATCTACTGATGACAAGGTATTCAAGCTATTATAAGTGAACCGGACATAAGTTTACAGTATACAGGAAACTGTTGCAGGCACAGTTAAGGTAAAACAATGGCATTTACTCCTAGAATAACAAGCAAATACTTGTACCTGAACGTTCAAAGCATAAAATCTTTTTCTGCAATTATATGCTTCTTTGTTTTCTGATGGACATCGTATATGAATTAGGGTTCCATCAATGGCACCAATGACTCCTGGAAATGTGTCACCAAAATCTGCCCTGACCTCATTGATCTCATGCCCTAGCATGATGTAAAAAATACACTTGAAATAAACATTTTTAATTTTGACTAGAGTAAAAAACATACCGAATTGACGGTATGTCCTTATATTAATTCTATATAAGTATAGCCGATTCCAATATTCACAATGTTGTCTATTTATATACATATATATGTATATGCAAAATTTCATAACACTCATGTTAGCAAGTTATTGTAGCACTCTCTAATCGAGACTAACATAAATGTATTGACCTATCGAAAGTCTTTCCTTTGCAACGAAAGTTTCGTTCGGGTATACCATGGTAAAAGGTTGTATACTTTACTCACCATTTGGCCATCTTATATACTGGTTCTTAAGGCCACAAACGGCTTCAGTAACTCGAACAACAGTCCGAGAAACACTGCTGTACGTGATGTCAAATCGGTCGGCGATTTCTCGCGTGCTCTCTTGGGTCGCCAGTGCCCATAGGAAGACCAATACTTGTTTCTCTGGTGGGATTGATGGCCTTCCAAAAGGATTTCCTAAGGGTATTCTGCCAGTGTTTATCACTTCCCTTGTCAATAACTCTGCGGTGGTCCGAGTCATCCTAAAATGCGCCGCGAACTCATCCCCAAAATAATTACTTACTGTAGACTCAAAATAATTCTGAATTCGAGTTAAGTTTCTACGAACGAAGCAGCAGGACACCCCCGCTATCGCCACAAAGTCAAAATCATTTTCATTCCTTAGAAACCTTTCAATTTCCTCGTCACAATTGACGAGAAAGTCGCAAATCAGAGGAACTGCGACTTTGTCGTCCATTTTGTTTTGTTGCCCCTCGTCAGCGATTAACCAATGAAATGTCAAGTGTAGGACTCAAAACGAGGCTCTATTCCTGGGAGGGAAAAGGCCTTTCCATTTGAACTGGAAATTTTCCGGAATGACAAACCGGAAATTTTGGCTAAATGGAAAGCGCTCCTGGACTTTGGAATCCGTAATCCCGCTAACGATTGGAGATCCCAAATCCAAGTTCCAGTGATAACGAGTACGGAATCCACAGCGTGCAATCCAGAATCAAAGACTGTCTTGGATTACCTTACATTGCCACTGTCACAAAGCCCCTCAAAAACTATAATTTCATTCGCTCTACTATTTCAGGGTTAGGGTTTGTTTCCATCGCCCGTTCATTAATTTATCACTCAATCCCGTAAGATATTCCAAGAGCTCTAAAGCGGCTCACGAATGTAGCCATTACCGAGTTGCTAGGCCCCTGTTTTAAAGCGAGGCTAAGTGCGAAGCCATTGATATGAAAACGATTTTCTTTATTCTCTTACAAATGAAATTCGTTTTCTTTTTGTTAGGTTTCTTAACCTTGCTTGGACACAGAGTTTTGAGGTTGGGCAGAAATCTGGGTCGGTGTTGTGTCGAACTGCACTATGGGACTGCTTTGGGGGACGCAGTTTGACCCAGTTTCCCTTGCAACCTCGTAATATCCAATAAATAGGCGATAGCGTCTGCAAACAGTACCACAGTGTGATTGGAGACGATACCGACTCAGTCTTACGTACAACTTTAAATAGGCCGATGAACTAGAATCCACGACAACATTACTGGAAATAAGAGGGCAATAATCTTAAGGAGAAACTGAAGGTCGACTATTTCAACGAGGTCTAACAATCAGAGCGCCTCCTTATTCGTTTGTAGGGTATTTATTTTAAGTAGATAAATGGTATTCTAATTCGGGCTGTCGCCTTCTTGTTGATATGAACAGCAAACGATGCTAAGACATGAGCGTTAGAAAGGTGTTTTGTTAAATAACGCCTAAACTCTGTTGTAACATCTGCCCTTAAAAGACCAGAGACGGGATTAAATACTCACCAGAGCTGTTTAAAGAACCGCTGATGACAGGACCAAAAGACTGACCACACCCTTGGCGTAGAAGAGGTGGTGCGACCAATGGCAAATTCTAATGACTTCTTTAACTCGCTCCTTTAAAGAGAAAAGGAAAAAAAGCTGAAACATATTCACACTGTGATTGTGAAAGATACACACAACCGTTAATTCTTAGAATACCAACTGTGATTGTTGTTTTGCTTTTGCTTTGACTCAAACAAATGCATATGTTTTGAGTGCAATTTCTACGAAATCACATAAGTTAATCCTGGAGCCCTGCTACAAGAAACCACCGAATGATTCCATCTCTACAAGTTGTGGTCTACTTAACGTAGTTAATACGACGATTTAACCTTTTTACATTGCCATACGTACCAAACGTGAACTGCAGTGTCATAAACCTTTATCTGTTGTGCAGTCAGTGTCGCCTCAACATTAACAAACTGCAGAAATGCGACAAAAAAGCATTATCAAAGTTTGTTAACAAAAAAGGAACAGAAGTGAAGAAATAAGCATTGCAAAAAAAAAAGCCTTATATTTGAGGATGATAGAAAAACTTGTGGTTACAACAGAAAAATCAAGATGCCATTTCGACAATTATGAATTACCTCAGCCTGTCTGAAACTAAGACCTCTAGAAACGTACATCCCCGATGCCTTCATTTCCATAGCTAACATTTCAGAAGCACCTAGGAAAGATTTTAAATATTAGTGACCTTAAAATACATCATTTCTGCCGATGGAGAAGTGAAAGCGAACGTGCATGTTTGCCACGTTATATAAAAGGTAGCCTGTTCCAGGGTTCAGATTGTGAGGACGACGCAAGGAGATGTGAGCAGGAAAAACAGCCAGTGGTGGGGTAGGGAGTGAGGGCGAAATTCCTTCCTCTCTCCCTCTCTCTCTCTTTCTCCTTATTTTTTTCCCGTTCTCTAACTTCGCACCACAATCTACTATTTCAAAGCCTGGGACAGGCTCAGGGTTGTCACTAAGATTTCAAGGTGCAGGGTAAATACAACACGTAGTCGGGGAATCAAACAGCTAGGGATTTCTTTTGGTTCCTTTTTCTTTTCTTTTCCTTTGAAAGTAGCCGGGGGCCACGTTTATAGTAGGCTAGCCGGGGAAAATCCCCGGCCCCCGCCTCTTAATGACAGCTCTGCTCAGGCTATATAAAAGGCGGCCATGATTTCCGAAAGGTGGTACTAGCTTCACCATGGCGCATCACCGTTCTAGCCAGTAGCCTAGCTAGCCATCTCTCCACGGTTACAGGTGGTTTACCCATATTTCAGGCTAAGGGTTCGGGTAATTTGCCGGAACCCGAATCATTTCATAGCTTTCTTTTAGAGTTCCAAGTATCGAAAAATGTGACTGAGAATACTTAGTTACAATTTCTGCTCAACTTTGACAAGAATATGGAAGTCATCATGATATAACCCCTTTATCCCACTGAGTACCAAACGTGATTAACATCAATTTTCTCCTAAAAATATCCATACATCATTACAAGAAAAAGTTTAGAGAATTCATAAAATAATCACCAAAATCTCTCAACTAATTCTTTAAGGAAAGGTAGGGGGATCAGTCGAGAGAATTTGTATGTGGATCATTGGGGCTGAAAATAGACTGCAAGCAGTCTCTCTTTTTCTTCAGATTTAGTGAGGGGAGTGCACGCGCGCGAGAGAGTGTTGCGCGTGGTCATTTGCGTGTCTCGCGCGTTTTGCTGAACGGACTATTAAAGAAAAAAGAGAGACTGCTCGTAGTCTAGGCTGAAAACTATACCACTTACCAAGACCTCTCTTAGTTATGCTGGCTAGAAAAGAATCAAACGATTTAAATGCTGTTCCATCTCCCCATAAACCAAGTCTCTCCATAAACGCCTGAAAATAATCAAATCACTGTATCAGTGTACTGTATTGATTAACCATAGGACTGAATGGGAACATTGTGAGAAACCTAAGGCTTCTAGACATGGTTGCCATATTAATCTCTCAGCAATTATTCATGCAACAAGAGTCTTTGTGCTCTTTTACTGAATGCCTAGAAATCATGTACCTTGAACCAGAGTTTAATACCATCAACTGAGGTGATACAACTGACTTTGACCCCGACACCCTGTCAGACGTATCCGGATATTTTCGAAAATGGGGATTTTTTTCTCCATTTTCATGAAAAAAAGTCGTTTACATGACTCGTATTTGAATCCTTTTCACCTGTCCACATGAAAACCCTAAAACGATGGAAAGACGATAGCAGCCCTTACAGAGCATGCATAATGCTAGTAGTATAATTTTATGGTGCATGACATAATCGTGTTCACAAATCTCCGTCTTTGGAGACCTTTTAATAGTAACATGCTGTTTCCTGACACTCAGTCAAAATCACGTTATTGTCAATTATATAAAAGAATACTTTACTCTACACCTACCATATTTTTTACATCTGTCACACCAGTTGCACTACAGTACACAACACGAGCTTTGGGTAGCATTCTATGAAAAGAAAAAAGAATAAATCTGTAAAGAAGAGAAAATTTGGGCACAGCAGTTACTGTAGGGGAGTAGGGGAGTGGGGGGGGACTCTGTAGAGACAGTAAGAAGGTCAGGTATATGTAACAATTATTCCACAAGTGCGTGTTGGATATGAGTTGGCTATAATCATCTCATATCGGAAATAATCGTTTTATTAAAAACGCCCGCAAAATATCGAGAATTCTTCCTGACCTTATTTGTAAAAACAACCGATTTTCAGCTCGTTTTTAATTTTGAGCAGACGCGTACAGTTCCCAACGTTTCTAGCATCAACTCTGGAAATTGAACTCGAGCTGCATAAGTGGGAGGCAAGTGCTCGATCACAACTGCTCCATCCCTCCTCCCTGCTTCTTTCAAATTGTAAAATTATTAGAACTTTAATTATTACATTAGAGTGTTAATTACATGCTACATTGTAACAATTGATATTCAAAAATGAAGTTGAATAACTTTATCATACCTTTGTATTGTTGTGACAGCAAGAGCAACTTTTGTGCTGGATTCTTCTTTGCCCTAAAATGAAATAAGCTACAGTGAGCAGGGTACTTAGTTGAATCCATGACATCTGTCTCTGGTGTCAATATGCATCACTGGTCAGTGAATTTGTGTGGAAAGTGTAATGGCTGTGCATTCATTAATGAGTGTAACAAGACCAATTCCATTCTCAAGAAACCCAGTGCCCAGCCATGCTTTATGTGAACTGTATGCAATGTAAAAGGAACACACACTGTTGTCCTCTCATCCACTTCATACGAAACGTAAATTGTATAATGATGATCAGATAGTGGAAGTTTCTAATAAACCATGCTTTTTGCCCTACATAAGGTATTTACATGCATTTGGTGCAGTTATGAATGCGAAGAATAAGGGCTAAACTACTGTAAATCACTTACAGGAACAAAATGCTTTGCTTTATGACACTCATCAAATATGAGGCATCCATTAAACTGCTCACCACCACACCAGTCTATGAGCTGTTGCAATCTGCTCTGACGATTAGCACCTGTCAAAAAGATAATAAAACAGATCAACAAAAACAGGAACCTTGTCTATTGTCAGTAATAGATGACATTCACACTGCATGCTCACCTTTTTGAACAGACGACACCAGTGTTGCGTATGTACTGAAGACAACACCCTCTTTAAAATCAGCAGGTAAGCCAAATACTCTGTAAAACAAAATAATGTCAATGTTATTGGATTTGTTTTAAAATTCCTACTGATCTATCATTACTGTCAAATAAATCACAGAATATTGCTTCTATAGAGAGATGTGTGATGTCATGTTACCGTGGAAGCAAGATTTCTGGATCAATAATCTTCCTTGACAGAGACGGATGGCCATTTGTATTGTCCAACGATGGAAGGAAAATACCAGCGACCCTTTAATTCTTAAGTGCAATAATGCACAAAAAGAAAAAATTGTTGTTTTTTTCCCCACCATATTGGCAGGACCACAGTTTGTTGAGACCCAGAAATTTTGCTACCATGGCAGTGTGACTTCTCCTTTCTTTTACACTGTAGGAAGCAATAGTTGGCTTGGAAACATTTTGGATCAGATTATCACTTGGGGAAAAATACACCTGAATTGAAGGAAAATGAAAATTAATGAAACTTGCATGCACAGATTGGTTTGAAAAAGAAATCTTAGAAAATAATTATTAAGAAAAGGAATTTATGTACCTTGTCCAAGAATATGTTGTGTTACATAATGATAACAACAGACATCAGCTAGTGTAGATAACTCGTAGTATTCAGAGAAAGATTTAAAAAATTCCAAAACAGTGAGAACTCTGATAGCATTTTGTCCAAAAATTGAGATTCTGGAAGACAGACTGATGTTGAGAGAATTTTTTCTGAAATTTAACAAGATTTTAGACAAAAAGGCAGGGGAAGGCATGGCTCTCTTGCCCCACTCTAAATAATACCCGTGGTATTTGAGTTCTTGTACCTGGTTTCTTTATCCAGCTGCTGACAACCGTCTATCACTTTGACAAAACAACCAATGTCATGTAAATCTCTGACAAATGAAAAACAATCAGAAATTTGTCAGTTTCTTGGGTTATAGTATTTTACAGCTATACAGAGAGAGAGAGAGAGAGCAATTACTAGCATCACTGATTTTGTAACAAACTGCTATAGGGATTCACATCATGAAAACTCTGTCACAGTCCAGAATCAGTGAATCCAAATCCAAAGCCGATTTTATCGATTTTATTGGATCATTGCTGTGGAAATGCTTCTGAATATTCCTTCCAATATTACCCCTGAACCATTTTGTTCTAGTGGGTGAATGGGTTACATGTAAAAGCGTGAAAAAATGTGGAATTATGAACTTAATGCTGCAGTGATTTTGTTACCCCTGCCTGTGCATCCTGTGCCAGTAATGCATCAGATCTCCAAAGATGCAAAATAATTTACTGCCTGCATCCTGTAGGATCGACTGAGGGACCAGAAGATGACTTTGAAAAAGAAAATCCTGTTTATGACTTCTAATCGGTAATAAAACCTACCTTGCCAATAAGTCATAGAGAGTAGACTTTTTTAAAAGGTATTTTTCGGAAAAATTCCCAGGAGTGAATGGGTTAAAATCATTGACTTAAAAGGTCAAAATTCCAGTGAATACATAATCAGACTTTGGCTAAAAAATAATCTGAACACACCTTTGGGCATCTAATCGTAGGTCAGCTGAAATACTAAACCATATATGTCTGGATCTTCCACGTGCAAAATTGTCCAACACAATGCCAGCAATCTACAGTAGAAAACAACTGGAGTGTAATCTTGACTACAAATTTAATGGGCTTAAAGTCAAACAGTTCTATATTCAAGGTTTGGCAGTGAGCATTCGGAAGTCACCCAAGCGTGGTCATTGCATGCATGCTGAACAAGAATGCTGTATAATGACAGACTAGAAGGAATAGACAACTCCCAAAGCACAAACTCAGCCAAAACGCTAAAAATCTTCAATGTTTACTCAAGTTTGGGCTTATAGAAGATAATGTCACAGTTTTTCAATGACCATGAAATTCAGAGTCCAGGTAGTTAGTTAATCAATTGTGGCCCTGAAAAAATTTGAAAGAAAAAAAACTATGAATTTTTAAGAAAATGCTTTTTTCGTGAGAAGGACTCTTAAACGCTGACAAACGTCAACAAAATAGCGAAAACTATAATTTCTATATGTTTGCTTTGCTCGAAATCGCGCGCATTTACAAGGCCCTAAAGCATTTTGCTGACTTGCAAGGACCCATCTCTTATAACGATGCCCAAAATGAAGGGATGAATCTCATAGTTTATTAGATATAATCGTGTAAAGTTTGCTTATCATTTTCGCATAAATTATGACCTAAATTTGGAAACCGCTGAATTTCTTGAATTGGGTCTTTGCGATTTTGGTGAAACTCTGTTCATCGCAAGGCACTAATGCGCACTATGTGTAGCCGAGAGATTTTCACGAGAAAATGCGGGCAACAGCAGATTTTCGACTCAGACCTCAAAGGGGCGTGGCATTATAACCACGTGACATTTACTCCGATCACCAAAAATTTTATGCTATAATTATTGTAGAGTGATCTATATGTTATCCATTCTATGTGTTAGACTTACGATAAAAGTAAAGGAGGGGATACCAGAGAGCTTCAAAGTAAGGATGGTACCTCCCCAAAAAACTGGGTCGAGTCACCTTAAAATGAAAACGAGGCAAGTGCTTTTGCACGCATGAAAATGAGGTAAATTTGCACCTCAGTGAAAATGGCCATCATTCTTGATTTTTGTCTAAATAAACAAAGTAACAGTTCATCGACTTAACAGCATGAAATTGTACAAAAACAAAATATACTCACTTGTCTTCCTTTTCCAACCCCAGGACCATCCCCTATAAAGAATCCAGCTCTCTGTCCATTGGCAAGGACCATCTGATGTCTTTGACACTATTAAAAAAAATCAACAGCAGTTTATAAAATGAATTTTTCATGCTGTTTAACTTGATTTTATTACTAAAGACCATGACTGTGCAATAACACACTCTCTGCTACCACATATCCACAGCAGCTGGAAGGGCCTTTTTGTAATGAATTTATTTTTAGCTGGAAATCCATCTTTTCCCAAATATTTTAAATGCTTTATGTGGACAGAAGAAAGAGCAATACAAAAGCCGACAAATGTTGACAGAGTTCTTGATACTAATAAGGTGATAATTATACTTACAGCATACAAAACTCCTTCCAGTTGCAAATCACTTAGTTTGCCTGATGTAAACAAAAAAAAAAAATAGGCTTATCAACATTTCCCTTTGTCAATATTATTACAAAATTATCACCTAAAATATGATCAAACCCCTCCATGCAAACATCTCTATAAGGTCTTTTCATCCTAAAGCCTCGTGCAAATGGATGCAACATTGTCGGCCAACAGCTCTCAACATTGTTGAATGTTAAATGTTGCGTCCATTGGCACACCCTGTTGCATGTTGTTTCAATGTTGTTGCATGTTGTTGGGAGTTGTTACACAAACTTTTAGCCATGCGCAAATGGACAAAACAATTCTCTCTGTTGCACATATATAGCTTAAAGACATCTAACTTTATACATATTACTTTACATAATTAATTACGGCAGACAGCTCTGTAAAGTGGACACTTGGTTCTGTCCCTTTGGTGTCTGATTAAAGGAGGGGGGAGGGGGGCAAAGCTGCTGTAAGTAAAGCCTAACTATATGTAAACCCCTTCTTTTCAAGAAGTGACCAAAGTGTCCAATTCAACAAAAATTTCAACTTTCATTTTTAAAGAGTTTTTACATGTAAATGTGGAAAAAACCATTAGTTTTTTAGTCTGATGCCATGTGAAAGTACAGTTGAAGAGGTCTCATTTGAATGGTCGCACATGTTTTTCATCGGTATCATCATTTTTTTGCCAGGGTCTCAATGGTCTCATGGGTTCTTCTGATTCTTGAATTTAAAATGGTTTGCTACTTCTCATTGGCATCATGATTCATTGGTCTCCTGTTTCTGTGGTTCTTGTAGTCCTCAGAGGCTAGTTCATGTACTCGTGGAGGATCACAAAACTGAGGAGAACTACATGTACAAGAACCACGATAACAGGAAGAGCCATGAGAAATACCAACCATGAGAATCAGGAAAACCAGGCATAACAGAGAGCCACAGAGCAAAGGAAACTAAGAGAACTTGAGAGCCACAAGTACCAGAGACTTAAAGAAGCAAGAGAATAACCAGAATGTTGGTCAAAGTAAATATGTCAGTTATCATCACCTGTCTCTACTAAATCTTGTGGAAGCGATTTAAACAACTGGTATTTAGCTCGTGGTAGCTGCTGTGCCTAGAAAAGAGAGGGGACATACATTAAGTCAGTAGCCATTTTATTGTGCATTTACTTTAAAAAGATAATCATCAGTAAAACCTGCAAAATGAAACAACCTTTTTAAAAACAAAAATATCAATAGCACAGACAGTTGAACATTGTGAGAATAAACTGTTCTCAGATAAAATGGAATAATGTTATCTTTGTCCCCTACAAATAATTGGGAAAAGCGTGATATCACTTTACCATCATGTAACAAGATTTCTCGATCTCAACAGTCCTTCTTTCAAGACAGAAATGGCCATTTCATGATTTGTATTGTTGGATGATGAAAGAAAAGTCCTAAGTGCAATCATAGGAAAGTCATACAGTCCTATTTTTTTCTCCCATATAATTGCAGGGCCACAGTTTGCTGAGATCCAGGAATTTTGCAAGTAAGCAGGGCAACATGACATAATGACTTCTCTTTGTTGAGGCTAGGAAACAAAGAAAATTCTGACTCAAACAAGGTCTAATGCTTGTTTAACCACACTAGGGACAAATTTGGTTTGATTTTCAAGCCATTTAAAAAAATATGCAGTATACATACTTACCGCCAAGCAACCAGCTTCTACAATATTCCCTGGATGATGTTTAATTCCTTTATGATTTAATGAGTTGCAAGCATAACTTGAGAAGACATCTTCACTGTAAACAAAACAACCATGGAATTTAAACAGCTTGACGTGGCATGGCATATTGTGCTACAAAAGTGAGTTAACAGTTGGTTTGGAATAGCAGGCCTAAAAATACTTTTTTTTTCCTTTTAGAAAGGGCATAATTGTGTCCTACTAGGTCACCATTTTAGCCAGGCAAACCAGAAAGGCTGTCAGACATCCACAGTGAACTCAATTGATGAAAAGATTACAGCTGTTTCTCTTTCTCAATTTAAATCAAAATTAAAACAACATTATCTTTCGCTGTACTAATATTGCCAATTATCTTGTACTTTGTAACTTCTATCCTAATTTTTTGCTCTTCTTATGGTAATATGCACTAGTGTGTGTGTGTATATCAGTGTGTTTGTGTGTATACAGTCTGATATGCTGCCATATTGTACTCTGCAAAATAAACTTAGTTCAATCATTTTACTGAATCTGGCTTCTTGGCATTTTAAACTTATTAGTTATTTCAGAAAGTCAGTACCCCTTTTAGTTAATTGATTAATTTAATAACTTGTAAATAACTATAATATTCTGCTTTGGGTACAATAAAAATTGTTGTTGTTGTTGTTGCTGTTGTTGTGAAACCAGTACAGTCAAACCCTGTTATTTTGGACAGTGAGGGGGCCATAGGAAATGTCCGTATTAGTGGGGTGTCCATAATAAGCAGGTTGAATTTAGAGAAAATGTAAGGGCTTTCTTACCCCATGGACAAAGCAAACTGTCCGTAATAATGAGGTGTCCGTATTAAGCGGGTGTCCATAAAGTGGGGTTTGATTATATTAGATGGAGACCCTTGAGGAAAAATTTTGTGTCCATTTAATACAGGAAATACCCATAAAGAGGCTCAAGTATTAAGACGGAATCCACCGGGAAATTGAGTTATTTTAATTTAATTCTGAAAATTTCATGTGAAAGATGCAATTTTGTGAAATTTGGCATTTCATTTTCTTGGGCTTCATTAAGAAATTTTCTTTGGTATTATTACAGATGACTAATTACATCTTCAGCCCTTGAATGCAATATGCTTTAAATTATTCTGGTACAAGGTTTTTGTCCACTGGAAATCAAAATTATTCAATTTCCTGGTAGATTCCGTCTTAAGGTCAAATGAGTAAAATAAGCGGTTATACAAACAAAATGAAATGAGAAAAAAGTACCGTACAACTGATCAACAGGTTAGTTAAGGCTGCCGGTATGCATCGCATGTTGAGACCTCATCGATTGAGATTAGCGGGGGGGGGAAGGAGCGGGGGAGGGAGTGGTGGGGGGACATAAAATAGAAACAATGCATATGGCCATGTAATAAATCAAGAGCTAGGCTTGGGATCGTGTGCATATACACCTTTTAAAATTTCAGTAAATTATCTACGTTAAATAAGTTTCCTCCATAATAACACAACTAAGCGAAACCTTGCTACATAAAAGAAAACCCAACCAAGAGTACAAACCTTCGACTTTCTGCCACAACGCCGTGCGCCATCTTGTTAAGCTCCTCGTGTTCCTCGCTCGGGTTTTCAGTGCGATTAATTACAACCCGGCGTGGCGGAACAGGTGATTCTGGACTAGATAGAGCCATGGTTACCTTCTGATTATAGCAATTTAGAGGGAAAAGCCATCATTTTCGGTATTTTTACACCCAAATCCCTTTGTTATGAATATTCTCCCGTTTCCCGCATTTTTGATTGTTACCGCCATGCCTTGCGGGCGCAAATGAGCCTAGGCCCCAGATCGTCTGTGATCTTTATCTGCGGTTTTCGATTCCACCCTTCTCCCGCAAAGGACGGGAAATTTGGGATAGCTGTAAGTTAAGCTGTAAGTACGTTCAAGCAAGATTTCTAAAACCTGACACACTCGAAGCCCTAAGCACCGCAAAGGTTTTGCTGCTCAAGAAGATATTTTCGTACTGGATCATGTCAAGTATGCCGTAAATCCTCTATTAAGCCCCCTTCTCAATCTCCAATAAGCCAGGAGCCGATAAATAAGCCACCTCCCCGCAATAAGCCCCCCCCCCCTTTTCTGGGGAAGAAAGTTAATAAGTGCCCCCTCCCTTCCCCTAATTATTCTTCACCAGGAGCCCATCTTCACTAATAAATGATAGCGGGGCTCCCGCGCGCGCGAAGCGCGCGTGGGACAGAGCCCCATACCCATGGAATATGGTCAACCTCTTTTCGTTTGGTTGTCACGTGATTGACCGAGCGTACGTACGTACGTACGTACGTACGTACGTACGCGTCTACAGATTGTATGGGTGGGGTAGGGGAGACTATCAAAAGGAAGGGAGGGGTGTCTCAGGCGTGTCTTGGCAAGTCCACATCTTTAATATAGGATATTAACAATATGGTCAATTGACAGCTGTCCAAACAGGATAGCCACTGACCAGTATCCCATGACCATATCGCGGGCTCATGTGTCAACTCATCGAGGTGACGTGATTTATTTGGAAGCTGTCCGCTGACCAGTTAACTGTTTTACTAGATCGCGAACAACGTTCAATCTCATACTTTTACTAGTTTGGAAGCACAGGAAAACTGATAATGCACACATATTGGACATCAATGTTTTGATCAATTGACAGCTGTCAAAACAGAGTACCCGCTGACCAGTATCACTTGACCGTATCGCGGGCTCAGGTGTCGACCCGTCGAGGTCAAGTATTTTTTGAAGTTATCCGCTGACAAGTAAACTAGTTTTCAAGTGATCGCAGGCTCAAGTTCAATTTTTTTTCTTAATTCATATGAAATATGTTGTGTTTATGTGCTGCACAATTAAAATTTTGATTACAAACTGACCTCGGACGGGAAAATTCAGCCAGCTGTTACAGGCAGGGAAGACAGTTGCTTTTGTTTTTTCTCACAATAGTCACGCGTTGGTCACGCTCTACGTCCAATTTTTATGCTCTGATTGGTCAAAATTTGACATGTGAGTTCATGCGCAAAATTTATGCAGCATCTTGAATCTTGTTTACTTTAACAGCTGAAGCTGACAGAGTTTTGTGTCAACTTGTGATGTTTTTAACTGTCTTTTTCCACTGGATGTACAAAATGAAATTCAGCTGCTATCAGGAGTCTTCTGTTACTCATGGCTAGTTTGTTTATTGGGTTTTTGGTTGAGAAAACGTCGCTTGTCAAAGTCGGAAATCCGATTTCGGATGGCATCGTTTTCGTTTTCACCTTGCTTGATGCGTAAGAGGATTGCAAAGTCTGAAGCGATACTGGCTTTACCTGATAACTTTCAGGAGCTGCATCTCGAATGGTAAGCCAGAGAAATTATTGTATTTCATGTTTGTTTTTTGTATCTAATTTAATGAAGTGGAGCGTAGTTTATGCGGGAATTTAGTTTATGCGCGTTTGTAAGATTTGAGACAACGATCTCACCGAGTATCTGGTTTGATATAATCTTACAGAACTTTAAAAAGCCTTTAGACAGTTTCTCACCGCAAATAAAAAGAAAATGTTCCAAAGAATCTTTAGTTATAATTCCAGCCGGAAAAGAAAGCTTTGAGAGATTTTCTTGCCACGAGTTCGTCTTTGAAAAAACAAACACCGGGAAGCTGGCTTAAAACATAAACTTCAGCAAACTTAAGCTTGAAGCTTGAAGATTCAGGATATTTAGGGACACTTTAATACTTGTCTTCCTGAATGAAAATTGTTGTCTCTGTTTATGTTTCACCGAATTATATTTCTTTTATTGATTGTTAGTAGTCTCTCTTGCAATTTTAATCGCTATGCCGATTGTTTTCAGTCGTTCAGTGAACATCGCTTGCAGGAGTTCTCAAAATGCCGCGCGTTAAACCATCAAATAAAAAATAAACATGATAAATTCTTTATTATCTTGGAGCGTAACTCTGTTAATGTTCATTCAAACACTCGCTACAGCTCGCACTACAAAAGTGAGAACCGGATGGCCGTATAGGTGATTTTGGAAAATTTTTTTAACAGTTTATGAATATTGAATGAGAGCAATTTGTATTGTGAAATACTGCTTTCTGTCCATGGTAATATATAGATTTAGCCAGGGCTAAAAGCGAGGCTCCCATTAGTAAATTTATAATTTAAATTAAACAATAAACTTGTATTCGAATTCCACAATTCAGTTAACTTTAGAGCACATTTATGTGACTTTTGAGGGAAAGGCTACCTGATTTTAGAGAAAAATAATTTGCAAACAGCCCAAGAGTAAACCAAATCTTACATCGAGTTGATAGCCTCATATGTACACTCAAAAACTGGTAATCATCTGTTATCACATTTAAGAGCCGTAATGGCTATTGATCACCGTAGATCAATTAGGCTTAGAAAAAAATCAGGCCAACGTTTTGGCGTTCGACAAGTTTACTTTGCAAAATCTTGCCAACAAATCTGGGTGCGTGTAAACCAACCTTTTATACCATGGACAGAAAGCAGTATTTCACAATACAAATTGCTCTCATTCAATATTCATAAAATGTTAAAAAAATTTTCCAAAATCACCTATACGGCCATCCGGTTCTCACTTTTGTAGTGCGAGCTGTAGCGAGTGTTTGAATGAACATTAACAGAGTTACGCTCCAAGATAATAAAGAATTTATCATGTTTATTTTTTATTTGATGGTTTAACGCGCGGCATTTTGAGAACTCCTGCAAGCGATGTTCACTGAACGACTGAAAACAATCGGCATAGCGATTAAAATTGCAAGAGAGACTACCAACAATCAATAAAAGAAATATAATTCGGTGAAACATAAACAGAGACAACAATTTTCATTCAGGAAGACAAGTATTAAAGTGTCCCTAAATATCCTGAATCTTCAAGCTTCAAGCTTAAGTTTGCTGAAGTTTATGTTTTAAGCCAGCTTCCCGGTGTTTGTTTTTTCAAAGACGAACTCGTGGCAAGAAAATCTCTCAAAGCTTTCTTTTCCGGCTGGAATTATAACTAAAGATTCTTTGGAACATTTTCTTTTTATTTGCGGTGAGAAACTGTCTAAAGGCTTTTTAAAGTTCTGTAAGATTATATCAAACCAGATACTCGGTGAGATCGTTGTCTCAAATCTTACAAACGCGCATAAACTAAATTCCCGCATAAACTACGCTCCACTTCATTAAATTAGATACAAAAAACAAACATGAAATACAATAATTTCTCTGGCTTACCATTCGAGATGCAGCTCCTGAAAGTTATCAGGTAAAGCCAGTATCGCTTCAGACTTTGCAATCCTCTTACGCATCAAGCAAGGTGAAAACGAAAACGATGCCATCCGAAATCGGATTTCCGACTTTGACAAGCGACGTTTTCTCAACCAAAAACCCAATAAACAAACTAGCCATGAGTAACAGAAGACTCCTGATAGCAGCTGAATTTCATTTTGTACATCCAGTGGAAAAAGACAGTTAAAAACATCACAAGTTGACACAAAACTCTGTAAGCTTCAGCTATTAAAGTAAACAAGATTCAAGATGCTGCATAAATTTTGCGCATGAACTCACATGTCAAATTTTGACCAATCAGAGCATAAAAATTGGACGTAGAGCGTGACCAACGCGTGACCATTGTGAGAAAAAACAAAAGCAACTGTCTTCCCTGCCTGTAACAGCTGGCTGAATTTTCCCGTCCGAGGTCAGTTTGCAATCAAAATTTTAATTGTGCAGCACATAAACACAACATATTTCATATGAATTAAGAAAAAAAATTGAACTTGAGCCTGCGATCACTTGAAAACTAGTTTACTTGTCAGCGGATAACTTCAAAAAATACTTGACCTCGACGGGTCGACACCTGAGCCCGCGATACGGTCAAGTGATACTGGTCAGCGGGTACTCTGTTTTGACAGCTTTCAATTGATCAAAACATTGATGTCCAATATGTGTGCATTATCAGTTTTCCTGTGCTCCCAAACTAGTAAAAGTATGAGATTGAACGTTGTTCGCGATCTAGTAAAACAGTTAACTGGTCAGCGGACAGCTTCCAAATAAATCACGTCACCTCGATGAGTTGACACATGAGCCCGCGATATGGTCATGGGATACTGGTCAGTGGCTATCCTGTTTGGACAGCTGTCAATTGACCATATTGTTAATGTCCTATACTAAAGATGTGGGCTTGCCAAGACACGCCTGAGACACCCCTCCCTTCCTTTTGATAGTCTCCCCTACCCCACCCATACAATCTGTAGACGCGTACGTACGTACGTACGTACGTACGTACGTACGTACGCTCGGTCAATCACGTGACAACCAAACGAAAAGAGGTTGACCATATTCCATGGGTATGGGGCTCTGTCCCACGCGCGCTTCGCGCGCGCGGGAGCCCCGCTATAAAAGGTTGGTTTACACGCACCCAGATTTGTTGGCAAGATTTTGCAAAGTAAACTTGTCGAACGCCAAAACGTTGGCCTGGTTTTTTTTCTAAGCCTAATTGATCTACGGTGATCAATAGCCATTACGGCTCTTAAATGTGATAAAAGATGATTACCAGTTTTTGAGTGTACATATGAGGCTATCAACTCGATGTAAGATTTGGTTCACTCTTGGGCTGTTTGCAAATTATTTTTCTCTAAAATCAGGTAGCCTTTCCCTCAAAAGTCACATAAATGTGCTCTAAAGTTAACTGAATTGTGGAATTCGAATACAAGTTTATTGTTTAATTTAAATTATAAATTTACTAATGGGAGCCTCGCTTTTAGCCCTGGCTAAATCTATATATTAGACTGTATAATCAATATCGACCGTAAAACTTTGGTGTGGACTGAGACAATGGTTCATTTACCAAAACTCTGGAAGTTCGGATTTGGTTCTGATCCTTATAAGGTGCATGACCTCCAACCTCCTTGTGCTTGAGCTTTTCCACTTTGTACTCTAGTTCTTTACCGAGAACTCATACCATCATCTTTTCTAAATTAAATAAGCCCCCCGTCTCTATTAAGTCCCTTCTCAAATGGGCTTGAAATTCCTTAGATCCTCATGGCCCTTCAGTCCCATCAACTCAACGAACATTTTTTCATTCGATCGTTCGCGGCTCACTAATGTTTTTTTTTTTTGGCAAAAAGCAAAAACCCGCAATTTAAATAACGTCAGAGATGTTTTTATTGAGAAATATTATTCATTCAAAATATTTGCCCGATTCTGAGTGGCTAAAAGCACACGTTTAATTCACCATAACCGGTTACTGATGACTAAATTTGGAAGAATTTTGTATTTAGCGAGGAAATGACGTCAAAAATGCAGCGTTCTTTCAGGTTAATGAACTGTCAGCCGAGAAGACCTAGGGACGAGGTTGAGTTGTTTTGGTTGTGAACTTGAAAAATGGCGGACATTTCACTCGTTTCAAGAGTAAGAACTAGGCGAAAAAATAGCTAAAAACATGGCAAGAAAAGCAAGAAGACAACTCGAAGGGCGACATCTGCTATTTAGAGAATATTTCCGGAGCTGAACAACCCTAAACGTGCACTATCGAGGATGAACTTAACACCGATGGATCGATGGAGGTAAGCGTGTTTCAGTCATGTTTTTAAACTAGGAATTATTTTGAATGAATAATAAAAACAATTATTGAATTCGGCTTTCGTATCATATGAAGAATTATGGAGATCTCGGAGGGTGTTATAACACCCTCCTCAATGTCCATAATTCTTCATAAGATACTCAGCCTCATTCATTAATTGTTAATTAATTTCTGCTTATAACTTTCTTCTTGAATCTATTACCGCCCGGACGAATCTTCGATAGTTTCCTTTCATTTTGCAATATTGTACCACATGCAACAACTATACTACGCTTGGGCTGACTGTCAGATCAGCTGGCCTTCCCTTTTTTTGCGCGCGCGCGTGAGACAGTTTTGGCGGTGAAGCTGCGAGGGAATTTCAAAACGTCTCCTCTTCTTTCCTAAGATGAGCGGCTTTGCAGCTCCTCTGCCAAAACTCTGTACGCGCTTATGATCCCGCTGACTACGCAGGCTGCAGATTGTGAAGAAACGAAAATAGCTAGCATGTGACAGCTTAATAATTTGTTTTTATTTTTACGTGAGAGATCGAGGAATCTTAAAACAGTCTTAAAAATATAAATCTAGCACGCTATGACCCAGGCGTTTTGCAAGAACATTCCTGGGTAAAGGGCTCAGTCCTGATTAGATCCTAGGTGCCTTGCTGCTAATACAGTTCTTGTTATGCTTCTAATTTTACTTCCTTCAAAAGTTTTAAGATTACTTTCTCGATATGATCATTACTGGTTAACTGTTTATACTCGTTTGGTCTGAAATTGTCTGATTACTGAGGAAGCTCCTTCTCCGTATTTAATCACCACTAGCTTCAAGTGGCACGTTGTAATATGGACGATCTTCATTGTGTTCGTTTAGATGCAAGTATGGTGCATCCCTCTCCATTATCACCTCCAGTTTTTCGATCAGTTGATAGAAACTGGGACGAGAGCGAGGTTCCTCTTTCCAGCAGTCAGCCATCAGCTCATATCTGTTATGGACAAAAAAAAAAAACAAACAAAAAAAAAACAAACCAATTGAAGTTAGTCAAAGTTCCAATCCATTATTACATGTATAGACACCGTTTTTCCGATTTAGTGGAAGAGGTTTCCTTTAGACCAGCTGGGAGCCATTCACGCCGTATCATTAGGCTTGTCGGTTTCTTGCCAAGCCTGCAAGCAAGCTCTCCATTTGGGAGATCTCTTCAACTACACGCACGTGCGACACGCGAGAGGAAACGCGACATCGAGGGGTCCCCCGCTCGCGCGTACTCGCGCGGTTCGTTTTCCTCGCCCAAATGGAGAGCTTGCTCGCAGGCTAATTCTTGCTCTGTCGATCTCTGTTAAATAACACTATCATATTACTGTATGAAACAAATATTTAAGCTAAGATTTTGCCGTCTGTCTGTTCCGTAATCACTTTGATCAAAGAAAACGTCAAAATCGAAACCGACTTGTCCTCTACAACTTTCAAGGCTATTTATAACTAAAAAGACGCACGGAAAAATCAAATCTTTTTGTCAGTTCTAAGACGATTCTGATCAAGAAATTAACCTACACATCATCGGAGCACATGTCAGGCCTTTCCATGCGATAACCAGTGCCAAGCAGTCGATACAACTCTGAGTTGGTCAGCGTGGGGTATGGTACGCCTCCTGATCACGTTATGCGAAAGAAAAAATATACATGTTATTATTTGAAAATACGGCTCATTCCCCTGCATAGCTTTCTCCTGTAAATGTCAATGTCGACGACTCTTCATTCCCCCGTACTCAATAATGGCGTCTTGCAATAAAATAGTGATTGAGCAGGGGTCAGAATTGCATGGAAATGTGTCTCCAAAGAAAACAGGGTGTTTAGTAATAAGGCTCCTCTTTCCGGAAAACAACTAATGCGTGCATATTTGATGCCGATTATCACTTATCAGACATAGAGCCTAGTTCAAAACAAAAGTGCCTAGATTGCCACAAATAAAAGTCATCAGGTATCAGCCTGTTTTCTGGTAACAATAACCTTATTTAATAAGGACTCACTCTTTAAGTCCCAGTGTCGTCCTTTGATATCAGTGGCACAATTCAAGTCATATGCCCCGTGGCAACAGGGAGGAGAGTTCTTGGGATTCCCCTCCCCTTGGAAGTTTACATGATTAGTGTGTGACGGTCTACTCACCCAATGTAGCCATCTCCCAAAGAACAACACCAAAAGACCAACTATAGAGAAAAGCACAGAGGTCGTGAATATTCCCACTGCATTAACATTACTTTTCCTCTCTTCTTTTTACTTGGTGAACTTAAGGCAAAAGGGCGCATCTCCACCTTTCCATGCCTTCGCCCTTGACTGAACCCTATGACACCAGGCCTCAGCTGCTCAAAGCCCTTAGGCAATGGCCTAGCAAGGTTAATAGAGTAGGGATCGGAAAAGAATACCAATTTAGGTGACGGGTCTGCCGCATAATCGTAACTAAATGATCTTTACATACACTCCGAATTAAGAATTCAGCAGACGCCGCTCTCGCTCAGGACTTATATGCAAACTATGTAGTCCCGAGTCGAAATTATATTGACAAGTACGAAATCAGCCACTATAACCACTGAAATTCCTAGATCGGTTTGAAATAAACACGCTGATCACGACTTTTAGGGAAGCTGACTAAGGTTTTCTGAGCAGAATTTATCGAAATGTGTTTAAAAGAGTGGGATTTTTTTATACTCACACATCACTTTTGGTGGTGTAAAGGCCTTGATAAAGTGCTTCGGGGGCCATCCATTTTACAGGAAGTTTTTTGGACTTCGCTAAGCTTCTCACATCTTCATAGATTTGTCTCATCAACCCAAAGTCTGACACTTTGATTTGGTTGTCATGGCCAACAAGAACATTACGGGCAGCAAGGTCTCTGTGAACAAGATTGTTTTCGGCGAGATGATTCTAATTTTAAGAAGGAAAGAGAAAAAATGAAAATAAGTACCATATAAAACTTCAGTTACGGAGCTACTATTGCCTAAAAAGGCATGGGTGAAGGCGTGAAAATTATAGGAGCCAGTAATCAAAAGTAAAATATCACGACTGAACTGATCTAAACGGCTGATTCAAGTTCAGACAAAACATGCCGAATTTGGTTCGATCGACTATGACAAATTCTCCTCTAAAAACCATTAATCATCTAGAAAATTAACTTATTTCTCCTTTATTTCTTGCTTGTGGAATAGTCTTTGATAACGATCTTTGAAGGATATCTGAAAACAAAACCTGAATGGAAGCAACGTTTCTCAGAAAATAATCATATAGTAATTACCATTCCTTTAGCAATTTGCCAAGCAAATGAAAAGAGTTGTTTGGCTCGAAAGTTCTCCTCCGCGTCTTCTTCATCACTGCTGAGATCCTCGTGTGTGCTTTCGATTACGGGTGGCATGGCGGGTGAAGGATTCGCTTGACTTTTTCCTGTTGCCGCTTGGCTGCTTAGTAGCCAGTCTTTTTCCGTTACTTTCCACTCCACATCCTTAGGGAAATTTACAAAAAAATAAATAATGGTCTAGCTTAATGAACTCGAAGAAATCTTACAGATCGACTTAATCGCTAAGACTCAGCTTTTGCGCAACTAGAACTCGGCGAGCCGAGGTATCTCATCGAGATCATTCAGCTGCTCTTTTCAAAGCTTTGAACGCCCTTGTGAACGGCCATTCTTCAGACGTTGCGGTCTGTGGCGAAGGTTTCCCATCGGACAGTGGGATTCGATTCAGTTTTTTGTTTCAGGGATTCTTTGAACCTCTTTAGTGGGTGTCCAATGCTACGTGTACCGCTGGCCACCTCAGAGAAGAAGACCATCTTTGGGAGGTGCGTGTCGTCCATCAGAAACACATGTCCAACCCACCTGCCGACCGTATCAAAGGCCTTGGTCAGGTGCACAAAGAGGATGTACAGGCTCTGATTCTGCTCGCGGCATTTTTCTTGATCTTTCCTATGGCGAATATCATGTCGATTGTCCCTCTGTTTTTCCTGAAGGCACACTGACTCTCGGACACGAAATCATCCAAGAGGTCGTGTGTGATACAGCTCAGTATGATGAGTGCCATGAGATTTCCTGGAATACTCAACGGCGAGATACCTCTGTGGTTGTAACAAGATGCTCTGTCATCTCTGTTCTTGTACAGGTGGATGGCGTTGGTGTCCTTGAAGTCGTTAGGGAGGTATTTCATCAGGATCAGGTGCTTTCCCAGCCTGCAGCTGCTTATTTTTTTCTGGGTTTCCTCCAGTGTTGGGGGATTGTCAAGAGAGCTTAGAACCGGGCGCTGAAGTATATCTTGGATTGCTTAGTGGTCGATTTGTTGAGAAGTTGTCTAAAGACTTTTCACCAACTTTGAACGATATCAGACTTCCCTGTAAGCAGGGTTCCAGCCGAATATGGGACAGGAGTCATGAAATTGAAAGAGGGGCCATATATACAGTCTTCGAGCCCTCGAAGAACCTCTTAAAGTTGTGCTCGTCTGAGTATTGCTGCAGTTCTGCGGCCTTGTGTTGCCACCACGTATCCTTCAGCTGTCTCAGCTCAGTCTGGACTTTGTTCCTGAGGTGCTTGTTTGATTGAGACGATCGTGCCTGGCAGTCGAGGTCTTTTCCTAAAGCCAATTGCTAAAGGCTTCCTGCTTTTGCTTCAGAAGGCATGCGTTTTCTTCGTTGTTGTTTTCAAACCAGTCCTGGTGTTTTCGCTCCGTCTGTCCAAGTGTCAATTTGCAAAATCAAATGCTGCATCTCTGACTACCTAATTAAATATGCATATTTTGTAAAATGCTATTTAAACCGGTTTGCTTCAATCAGTGATCCTGAAAGTGAACTACAACTGTGGCATAATGAAAAAAACGCGTAAAACGTGATTTCAAATAACACGTGACATTGCTTCATCAGTGACGTCACAAAACACGTTTTCCTAAACGGGGAAGGTTTGCAAAACTTAATCTTAGGAATTTTCACCACCAAAATGTTACATAAACAATATAAAACGTAAATTCACCTTATATGGTTGGAAAAGTTATTTATCCTATTAGCTATTTAACTAATTAGCAGGTCACGTGACCCTTTTCCCTTTATTTACCGATTCCTGTTTTACGTAAACACACATAAAAGGCGAATTCTTCAGAACCTTTTTAATAGCCTCTGAAACATACCTAAAAGAACTTGTTGCTCTTTCATTATCCTTTCCCCATTTTAGAGTAAATATTTTGACCGTTAATTCTCAATTAGAAGTCACGTGACGAAAATTTGAACTTCTAAAATGTCTCATATTGCTAAGGTCATTAAGCTACATTAGCAGTCCAATTTTCAGGATCATTGATCGAAGCGAACCGTTCTAAATAGCATTTTATTAAATTACACATATTTAATTATATAGTCATGGCTTAAGAGGCCTGAGGAGCCAACTGTGGGCACAAAAACAGGTGTTTAACCAAGTGGACGTAATTGATAATCATGAAGTTTCTCTGTGTTTAGCTTAAGAGTGGCAGATTTAGAGCTATCAAACACGTATCCTTGCTTCAGGAGTCTGTTCTCAAAATATCTGGGATGAACTAAACCACGACAGTTAAAAAAAGCCTTTGTGGCTTCACCGGATGAAGTTTACCCAGGGAGCCACAGCCAGTGTCGAGTCTACGACTAAAATAGAATTGAAACGAGAGGTTGTGACGTAATTCAAGAAGGCGCATGCGCAGAAGTAGTACACCAACGACTAAAATAGCATGACGGCTATAGTAACACCTGACCTACAGCGATTATTATGTTGCGTTCTCCTTTAGTCGAAAGTAAAAATTAAAATAGTTGTCTACTTATTTCGGGCGCCCGCCCCCCTTATCTAAGGGTCTTGTGTAGCAGCCATCAAGTTGTCCTTCCAGTGCAGTAGTCAATGTCAAACTCTCTGACCCGTACAATAGAACAGATTCAACTGAAACTCTAAAGAAACGCAATGATCGTTTAATCTATCCAAGAGCCTAGGTACTTGAAATCGTCCACTTGTCCTAGCTTTGAATTGGCTATAGGGTAGTAAGGTCGCCCTGTGTCGAAGGTTGTAGGCTATTTATTCAGTCTTGCCGGTGTTAATGTGCAGAGAAACTTCTATGGCAGCAGTTTCAACTCCCTCTAGTAGTGATTGGGCTTTATCGAAGTTATCTGAAATCAATCCGATATCGTCAGCAAAGTCAGTGTTAGTGATCATAATTGCGGGAGAGCGACGACTTCTTCTCTCCGTCAGTGTAATCAAGGTCTTCGTAGCCTTCAATTGCGGATCTCATTGCGTAGTCTAATGCTATGATGAGCAGGTACGGAGCTAACGTGTCACCCTGCAGTACTCCAGCATGGAAAGCAAAGAAATCTGTTTCTCCACCAGGAGAGCAAACTATGGCTTCAGTGTTATGATACATCGACGCTCTAGCCAAGACTATTTGATTTAGGATGCCGTAAGCCTTCAGAATTTCAAACATTTTGTCTCTGTTCACCGAGTCAAACGCCTTTTTGAAGTCCACAACGGTAAGAACCGCTGTTAGATTCTTGGCCTTTATGCCTTCAACAAATCTTCGAAGAGTAAGTATCTGAGCAACTGCTGATCTTCCTGGTTGGAACCAGTTTTTATTTGTGCGCAGCAGGGGTTCTAAGTGGGGGCGGATCCTGTTAAGAAGCACTCTATTATAGATCTTAGATGCTGTTGGAATTAGTGCAATACCACGTTTGTTATGAGGTTCACTGGGATCGCCCTTTTTGGGTACGGGGTTTATAATGCTCTTGGACCATAGCTCAGATTTTCCGCTACCTTCAAGCATCATATTACACACGTCTAGCAACTGGTCTTTGAGTAAGCCACTTTTCTATACCTCAGCTGGGAGTTCCTCTATACCAGATGCCTTATTTTTGGCAAATGTGTTGATGCTGGTATTGAGGTCTTCGAAAGTGAAGGCATTAGTGCTGATCGGAATAGTATCCTGTACAATTTGCTTACTGGGTTCCTGTCTTCGGCCGCAGGTTGACCTAAGAGTTCAGCAGTTTCGCCTTTATAAGACCACCTGTAGCTGACGAGGTCCTTCCCGTTATCTCATTAATAGTGTCTCATGTTTTTTTTGCCTGATGCTGCACTGCAGCGTTTTCAATCTCAGCGCATTTCTGGGCCAGATATTCCACTTGTTCGCTGTCATATGCAGCTTGAAGTTCCTCTTTCGCTTGTTTTAGGTAGTTCGCATTGTCAGATTTGGGGAGACGCTTATTTTTCAAATAGGCTTTCTTCAACTCGTTCCTTTTCTCCTTGACAAGTTCTTTCTCCCAGGGCACTCGTTTTTTCACTCGTTTCTTCTTAGGAATACACTTCTCAGCTGCATCCATTTGGGCCTTGATCATCGTAGTATACAGATCGTTCACAGTGTGTTTTTCCTCAAGCTGGTACAGGGCCTCAAAGCGATTCTTAACTTCCACAGTATAAGACTCTCTTACGGAATGACTGGTGCTAAAACAATGCCAGTCGAAACTGGTACGTTTGGCAGTTGTTGTTTTCCCATTGGCTAGCAAACTAAGGCGTAGTTTAGTTACGACAATTTTATGGTCTGAATATACTGTACTGAGAGGGTCATATGCCTGACAGTCTTTGAAACACTGTTCCACTGTTTCCTGTTTACCAGTATATAGTCAAGTTTGGCTTTGCAACCATTTGGGTACATGAACATCCACAACTTTTAAAGCTCTTTTGCAAGCGTGTGTTATAAATTATAAGCTCACATACAGTAGCCATATCCAACATAAACGTCTTTCTTCCAAAGCTAAACCCATTACAGTCTAGGGGACTGATATGTGCATTCAAATATTACTACATATGATCTTAAGGTTATGTCCAGGTAGCTTCTTTATTAATTCAGAGAGTGTGTTGTAGAAGTCTAGAGCACCGCTGTCACCCGAGCAGTTCGTTGGACTGAGCAGCATATAATAGTAGTAGCAGGGTTGTCACTTAAGTTTGCCACAATATTGCCCTCGAGGGAGTTGTAAGCAGAGGAGCTTAGTAGCATACCCACTCCTCCCACGCAACTGTTCTCGGACTTCCTCCAGCACGAGAAAGTGGCCAAGATTCAGCCTTTGCCGGCATCAGTATAGTGCACGTCCGCACTATCGTGAAATTTTCGATGTTCCTGCAGACAAACAACTGATATTCCTTTCTCCTCTGTCAACGCGGTAAGCTCTCCAATCGTCTCAATGGAGTTGAGTGAACGGATGTTAAAAGTTGACACTAGAGTGTTTATCTTGCATCTTAAGAGTCTTCCAGTAGCAGACTTATCAACTCCAACATGGTTGCCCACCGGGGGACGCGGCCCTTGTTTATCCCGGCGAGGACCCCGCAAGAATGTAGGGAAGTTTGCAGTGTTTATCAATAATAATAATAATAATAATAAT